TATTATATGCAAAGGAATCAAATGTTAGATGTTCTTGATGATAAATAAAATTTAGTTTTGTGAATAGAGAGAGAGTCTTGGATAGAATTACCAGTTGAAATCATTTAAAATTTATTGTTGGATTCATTGGTTAACCAATGGTGTCTATGAGTGTCTATGAAATCTGAATTATTCGCTGATATGTGAATGAGTTTACTGATAAATTTATATATTATTCCAGCTGTCATACAGATCAAAATTATCAGAATGGGGGGAAACTGAATGTAAAGTCGATTTTTTCCAACTTCAAATTGCTGTTTATTGCTAATGATCTATTGGTAGCAGCTCTTTACGGATCAATATCAGTTGGATTACAACTAAAAACTAGGAGGCACTGAATATTTGCTTGTTTCTAGTATGGGATTCTTTAACAGTATGTACTCAGTGCATTATGATTAGTTGAATCCGAGAAGTTCCGGTCTCTTGAAGAGGGCTTAACCGACGGATCGTACGGTTCTCATTCACTTCAGTTCTTCCTGCTGTTCAATGGATTATAGTAACTGATGTACATTTGAGTCTGTATACTTTGAGTTTGGTTAAGCTCCTTTTTGATTAACGTATTTAACAGACAGAATCATTTGTATCTCGACAACTTATCTATACCATTGTGCTGTTATTATTGTCCTTATTGTATGAGCAGTAGGATTGGGCATTGCTAATCGCCTGCACATATATTCTTTCCACTCGCTTTAATGTTAACCACCTCAGTAATTCGATGACTCATTCATTTTCTTATGTATGTACATGTATATTTTAATCCTTCTCACTCACTTGCTCGCTTGCTCTCCGGCACTCTTATGTCATTCTCACATTTGCTTCGTATACCTGTGGTTTCATGATCTGTGTGTGATGCGATAATAAACGTCTACAACGCTTCGTATTCATCGTCTGATTTATTCACCGTTAGGTGTTATCTAATGATGGTTATCAGGACGAGCAGTATGAGAAATTTAAGGTTATATCAATCGCCTACCTTCACAGAACTGGCGGGCCCATACCCATCACGGATTGTTCAATAAACTTAGTTTGTGATTCAAACTATGATATTCAACAATCTTTGCAAACTCGTAGACTTGTTCTATATTGATGTTGTATCAGTTTCATCTTAATGATAGGAGTAATTTTACGGTTGTTTTGATTTTGGTTAATCGCGAGTTTCTGCATTATTGTATTCCTTATACTCAGTAATGACTTTTTGGTGATAACAACCTCTTAAGTCTTTGAGCCGTCGATCTTAGAACTGTGGATAAGGGATTTAATGTACCGAACCAATCAGAAGTGGCCTGTTGTGAAGGTCACTAGGTTATATTGAGAAAAGGTCCTGAAGGACAAATGCATATCATTGGTTAAGAAAAGGTTTTCTACGCTAAAGAAATGAATCTGTATATGTAGGCGAGTCTTTGTCCATTTGGTTTGGCAGTCAAATAGACATTCTTTCCTGCTGTTCATTTTCTCGCCCAGTTAGCCATTCTGGAGGTTTGTGGGTGTGCTAAAACCATTTATATTGAACATGAAATCTGAAATATACGGTTGCACTGGTTCAAGTTGTCACATACACACTGTACCAGTACAATGAAATAAATTTCTTATTTATTAATTAAGAGAGAGTATAAAAGATTTGCGTTGTTTGGCAGTTTGATAAACCAACAAGGTAAATCAAGAAAATTCTATTCACCTTCAGACTTTATATCTCTACACACAGATGGTTTATCACAATCACTGTCAATATTGATCTATAGCAACTCATATACATTTGAGTTGGTTTGCGTTTAATTCGGTTAAGCCCTTCTGACTGAATTACTTAACAGACAGTCATTTATAGGCCAACAACTTGTCAGTACCATTGTGCTTTTTTTACAGTCGCGTTTGTATGAGCAGGTATGATATTGATCATTGATTACCGCCTACGCACATATTCATTCTACTCACTTGAATGTTAGTCTTTTAAATAATCCGATAACTCATTCATTCTTGTATATATGTGTCTATGCATTTTAATCTTAATCACCAATGTGCTCACTGGTTCTCACTTATTCGCTAGCTCGCTCGTCCGCCCGCTTGCTTGTTTGTTCTTCGGTACTCTCTTTTGATTTCTATTTTATTTCGCCTCATGAGCTTGTGGTTCTCTCATCCGTGTATGGTGCGGCAATAAGCGTAATAAACGCTTCATATTCGATTTCTGATTTACTTCTGATTTAAACACACCGTTGGGCGTTATCTAGTAACGGTAATGAGGACGAACGGTGTACTACGTTAACAAATAAATTAAACTATCGGACTATCACGGAATCGGCGAGTCCATATCCACCACAGATATCCTTCCACAATTATTACTAATATTACGAACTATCGTTTCATCACCAAATGAATGACACAATTTCCATTTTTATTTATAGTCGATCCATAAAATTTATGTTGACTTTATGAAATTGTATATAGTTTCAATTTATAAAACTCTAACTTCAGGTCGATGTCTGGCAGATAATCTGTTTATTGAAGTTCATACATGTGACAGAGGAAAAAATTAATTGGTTATTTGTGATTCATACTTGTCATCACTAATTTGTTATCCAGTATGCTACACTGTCTTTATTACATAACAGAAGATTTGGTGTTATTGCATTCCAATTCAGGAGATACTACCCATAACTCAGTTCTCATATGGTCGAAAACTAAAAATTTCGCGAAAAAAATCATTACCCGAAATGAGAAAAAGGGTAATAAGAGTATTTGAACCCATTTGTATCAAGCTAGGCTGCATCTTTTGCTATTCTATGTCATACTGTGTATACCATATGCTATCCTATACTGCCATATAAAAGTGAAGGCTTCCTATTACACCAGGCGTTCGTTGTGAACGTTATGGATGGTTTGACATTACTTTGGCAAGTACTGCTGGTAGTCCATACTACAGGGTAACCGATTTCATTGCAACACTCTCAAGGGCCATCGTTAGTGGTAAGCTGTATCGCATCTCGCGATTGCTAATAATAATGAGTTTGACAGTCATGTAGGCGGGATGAGTCGAAATGGTCTGTTCATGCTGTGTATATTGATTGACGCGATCATGGATCGGAAATAATCATTATATATGTACTGGTGTATACGTAAGTGGTGTGAATGGTCCACCGAGGTATCAGGTGTCTGATTGGTCGCTCCACGGGATTGAATCAAACTGTTCACGTTGAAGTTGTAAACACGTGTGTAGTCGTCTTGATTCTTCTGGAAACCAATGTAAAATCACCTTTGCCAATAGAAGATTAATTCGTATAACTGTGAATTTTGAAAAAATAAAATTTGCATTCCGTTTCATTCTTCTGATGTTGTCATTTGTTCGGGACACTACGTATAATTTATTATTATTAAGGTATCCATTAAAGTTAAGAATTTAAATCATTCTATACTAACTAACTTGGTATTCTGTAAAGTGAACGTTAGAAGAAAGACATAACATTATCTTCGTCTGAATTTTCAAAAGTAGACCTTCTACCAGAAGGTTCGCTTACTGACTTAGAATATGCCGATGACAGTTCGATTCGGTGAAGATGCTGACAAAATGCAGAGTCTTCTGATAACCTTGAGAAACGATGCAAGCATGTTCCGGATGCGGTTTTCAACCTCGAAATGCAAAATGTTACTTCAAAACTGGGTTGCATCAGCACCTGAACTAGTGATAGGGAGTGAAGTAATCGGGCGTGTAGACCGCTCCACTTATCTGGGAAGGCTCATCAGTGCTGATAGCCTGTTGACTGACGAAGTCTCAACGCGGATACAGAAAGCTCGATTGGCTTTTGCCAACTTACGTCATTTATGTTGTAGGCGAGATATCCGTTTGCTAACCAAAGGACGAGTGTACTGCGAATTAGTTTGCTCAGTCCTACTTTATGGCTGTGAAACATGACCAGTCAGGATAGAAGATATTCGTAGGTTACTGGTTTTCGATCATAGGTGTCTCTGAAGCATTGCTCGTGCATCGAGTAAGCAATGCTGTCGTTAGCAAACGAGTATTAGGTAGGGACGGCAGATCAATAGATGAAGTGGTGAAACTTCATCAGTTGCGGTGGTTGGGACATGTGTTACTAATACTCATCCAGCGACTGCCTCGTCGAGCTATATTTTGTGGTGTATGAATAGGTTGGACGAAAGTTAGTGGCGGCTAAACCAAAACATGGCAGACATCCATGAAGTCACTGACAAGTGGACTGAGTCATGTCGGTAGTTGTCGACTACCCGGTTGGGTTCCGTGAGATGTTAGTAATCGATGGTTAGAGACCCTGAATGACATGGCTCAAAACCGTTTGCAATGGCGCTGGTGCATTCATTCTTTGTGTTCTCTCAAATCTCAAACTGTTTATTTCTTCGTAACTTTATCATTTTAAGTCTATTTCACTAGTTTCTACTTCTTGAATAATATCTTCTTATCCTAACCTCTTCGATTACTGCTAATACCTTTACTACGTCTACTACTATTGGATTTGAATTGACAATTACATCTCTGTGCTAATGTGGTATGGCAACATGAACTGATTTACGTACGTACGAAGCTCTACGTTGCTTTTGATTGATTGATTGACTGAGCAGAAAGATCAGAACGTCTTGGTCTCAACCAACTAGCTGGACGGATGGATTCTTACAGGCTGAGTACTCCTAGATTGGGTCTTCTTGTTATCAGTGATTGTCTAATCGTATTCACTGTTTGATGTAAAACTTCAGATATAAATAATATTTTTATGCTTATTTATTGGCTTATTTAATTAGTTGACATATAGGATTTAAAAAGATCAACAGGTTTATATACACACGTCTATTTCAGCGACTGTAATCATATTCAAACATTGTGTTAACTTCTTTAATGTACATCGAAGTGTGAAGCAATCTTGATTAATTGAAACATTCTATAGTGATAACATACTTTAATCGTTAATCTGTTCTTTTTTTTCTTCATTTTTTTTTATTTGTAGATTATTTCTATTGATTTTAACATCTACATCACCATCATCATCAGCATCATCATCGTCAATATTACATCCAATGAATAATTGAAATATTCATTGAATTATATATAAATAATGAAATCAATGAATATGAACTTACCTTCAATCAGAAAAGATATTGCTGTAAGATAACTATTGTTTTACACTTTTTATTTGATTCTACGTTAATGATTATCAAATTTTGAAATCGTAAATCGATCAATGTTAGATTATGATTAGTGGTAATAACCTGGAAGCAAACAGACAGACAGACAGACAGATACAACGCAGAACTTCGTACTTAAGTACATCAGTTCATGTTGCCATGCCCCATCAGCACAGAGACGCAACTGTCAGTTCAAATCCAGGAGTGATAGCGATAGTAGAAGTATCAGCAGTAATGCAGAAGATTAGGGAGCGAAGATATGATTCGAGAAGTATAATTCAGTGAGATAAATTTGTAAAGATAGAGATTATGAGGAATTCAGAAGGTTAGAATTTCATAGAACACAAAGAGTGGATGCACCTGCACAAACGATTTTGAGCCATGTCGTTCAAGGTGCCGAACCATTGGTGACTATCGTCTCGCGGACCCCAACATGATTCAGTCCACTTGTCAGTGACTTCATGGATTTGTGCCATGTCTTGGTTTGGCTGCGCCTAGCTTTCTTCCAATCTACTCCTATACTGCAAAACATAGCTCGTCGCGGCAGTCGGCGGTTAGTCACACGTAACACATGTCCCAATCACCTCAACTGATGAAGTTTCACAACCTCATCTATTGATTTGCCATCCCTATCTAGAACTCCTCCTAACGACAGCATTGCTTATACGGTTGTCCTAGGATACACGAGCAATAGTTCGGAGACATCGGTGATCGAAGACTAGTAACCTACCGAAGTCCTCTACTCTTAACGGCCAAGTCTCGCTTCCGTACAGTAGGACGGAGCGAACTGCTACACAGTACACTCGGCCTTTGGTTAGCAAACGGATATCTCGCCTGCGCCATAGGCGACGCAGGTTGGCAAAAGCCAATCGAGCCTTCTGTATCCGAGCTGAGATTTCGTCAGTCACCAGGCCATCAGCACTAACGAGACTCCCAAGATAAGTGAAACGGTCTACACGCTCGACTACTTCACTCCCTATCATTAGTTCAGGTGCCGATGAAACCCAATCTTGAAGCAACATTTTGCATTTCGAAATAACCTGGAAGCACTAGATGACTGTTTCATCATGGTCCTGGGATTCATCAGCAGTGCATACTAGTGACTAGCTTCGTGAAAAAATTTCTCCGAGTTCTAGTGAGAAGTTGTAATCAGTGTATTTTAACGCTGTGAATTAGTACTCACTAAAGACAGCGGATGAGGCTGCTCAAGGCCGTGGATTGATTGAAGGTAGACATTAATACCGTTGGATGCAACCGGCTCAGTTGTCCATACGTTAAGCGTTCGCAGGCAAGACCAGCGGTTTTGGGTTGGAATCCTGCGAGTAGCAAGAGTCGTGGATACACGTCACTGATGAGTCCCGTACTAATACGAAGCGGCCGTCCAGTGCTTCCATGTTTCTAATTGTAGTAACTCACCGCTCTCCTGAACCCTGTATTACAGATTATCAAAACTGCAAAAAATGAGGTCACAATAATGCCAAAATTATTAACACTAAACAGTTATAGACAATGAAATATTATTTAATTAATGAAGCTGTCATTGAAATTTTTCATATAATACTAAGTAACAGCACATTATTCAAAAATCACACTAGTATTATGACTATTATTAATAATTCATTTCCGTATTGCTCTAAATAAATCTCATTGATGAGACATACTAATTATCAATCACACAAAATTCATAGTTCAAATTATCATGTTTGTCTGTCTGAAATTTTTTTTTTTCAAAAATCACTTAACATTTAAATGAAGTGTACACAACAATAATGGAAACAATAGTTGCTATATATTAGTTAGTAACTTGAATTCTAGTCTATACAATACGACATTAATGTACTATTGTACGATGAATTATTGAATTTTTTTTTCAAATCAATATATAAATCCATTGGTTCGGTAGTCAACTAGATCTTCCTTTTCCCGCTCTTCAACTTCTCGCTTAGTTAGCCAGTTGGATGGGGGGAAGAGTGGGTGTGCTAGAATCAATTCTAATCAACATATATTTGTACTGGTTCAAGTTATCACACACACTGTATCCCTATTTAGATGCCAGTGTAAAAGATGAGTATCCTTTTATAGTTTGATAATCCAATGAAGTGTATAAGTCTCTGCAATTTTCAGTTGTCAAGTTTTAGTTTTGATATTGAAATTGATCAAGAGATAAGAAGATATTTTCAAGTCATATAGTTCTATATAAAATTGTACATAATTTCAAGGTAATTTTAATTGTCAACTATTATGAATTGGTATAATTAGTACGAAAACTAGCTTTTATCAGTTATTTCAAACTTCTCTATGTTTCAATGTGTATATTCTCTTGGTTTCTGGATAATAGAGATTGTTGTAACAATACTTTGATAGCAAGGATAACAGACAGTTCTTTTCTCTTCTAGTCCCCAAACTACTTCAAAAGATATAAATATTGTAAATATGCCTCATTATCGAGAGAGACTAATGAAGATTGATTTTATTACCAAGTTTAAATGACAACCATTGAGAACCGAGGTGGTCTGCCAAAAAAATGTTTTGTTCTAATCCGAGACTCATGATGACTGAACATTTTCGATCACACTAGGTGTAGTGAAGGAGAACACAGGTGAGGGCACCCGAAATGTATTTATCTCAAATTACAGAGTTAATTGGTAAAATAGAAAAACGATATCGTAAATCGTTAATTTGCAAAATATCAATCCATCATATCGAACTGGACTGTTCCTGTTGCAAACATCAATCCTTTGTCTGACATTTCACTGTTCATGCGTTTCATACAAATCCTATTGTGTTCCCACTCTTTCTTTCTTGATCTTCCCCCATCTTCTGCTGCCAGACATTACGTTTTTACTCGCATCATATACTACTTGTAAGTAGCGCGCACCACATACTGACCTTTGATCCTTAAGCAGACGCTTAGTGACTATGGTAAGGTAACTTGAACTCATCTACTTACGTACGTACTAAAGTGCTACGTTGTAGCTGACTTAATGAAATGGTTGAGCATTCACTGCTTGTCATTTTTTCGTGAATTTCAGTCACCTACTTATTAGGATAAATTCATGATTTGAATATTAAAGATTACTATGAAGTCCTTAAACCGTCTACCCGCAAATGCACAAGAGATAATTTTGTCTCGATCTAGTTAAAAGGTCTTGACACTATCTTGTATCTAGTCAACCTTGAGACCAGTAGTAATACCGATTGTGATTAAACGGCCTTACGCAAATGAAACAAAACTATTCTATCACCAAACAGGCTAGCAAGCGAGACAAAGAGAAAAGACTCATCGACTGAAGCACTACTTCACTTATTTCTGATTCCATTGTAATTTAATAGATACTCAACAAGACTACACTGCACAGAGTTAGAAAATTACAATTACCTTCAAACTAGGCATTTAGGTTAGAAAATAAAGTTAAGTTAGACTAATTTTGAAAAAAAAACAAAATATACTATTGAATTCCATACATTGAATGAAAGCTTAACATTTATAGAATAATAAGATAGGAACAAAAATAAATATTAGTAGTACTATACAGACAGACTTCAAATGATGTTCAATCATATTTGGTAGAATAAACTTCCGTTGTCTGTCACTACTTACAACCGCTTTATTTCTCTTCTCATATTGATCATTCATGAAAAAAAAACTTAGCCAATTAAACAATGATCATCATTTTAACACAAAATCAATCATGGCTTATAAATTCATCTCATGCAAAAATATACTATGCATTGAATCTGTAATTTCCTTCCTATTGAATTTAATTTAAGTTAATATGATAGTCATAAAAATTCCCTGAAAATCAATAAATGAAACTTATATTAAAATTCACTTTTGAACAGAAGTAAACAAACAAAAGTTACCTTCATTTTATATATGTATAAATTTGAAAATTGATTTTTTTTTCACTAAATATTCGTTAAAGTTTTTCAGGGTTTAGAATCCTTGACCAAAAAAACTAATTCATTAATGAAAGAAAACTATTATGATGATGTATCTAAACAAAATGGGACTATTTCTGCTTTTTACATAATTTCTCGTTTATTTTAACGAATTGAAATCCTTAGATTAAGCAGAGTTAGACATGAACACCGTTGGATGCTACGGGCTCAGTGGTTCAAAGGGTTAAGCGTTTGTGTGCTGAACCAATGGTCCTAGGTTTGAATCATGCGTGCAGCAGGGGTCTTGGATGTTCACTGCTGATGTGAGTCCCACTCCAGGATGAAACGGCCTTCCAGTGCTTTTAGGTTTCTTAATGGTGGTCTAACATTGATTTATTCATGAGTTTAAGAACTGAAAATCTACGACCTCCATAATACTTCTATGCAAAATCAAAAAATGTGCTCACTACTGACTAACTTCGTGAGGTTTTGACAGTTTGAATGAGAAGACGTGACTAGTGAAGTTCTCAACCCTGTCAGATGTAAGCAATAGCTACCAAAGACAATGGGTCGGGTTGTGCGAAATCCGTAGATTAATACAAACACTATTGGTCAAACATTATTGATCAAAATAATTTAAGACTAATTAAATGTCTATTTTCAGTTAGAGCTTTGGAAATTTGTATTTTTACACATATGAAATCATCAATCAGTTGTTGTTAGACCACCGTGAGGAAATTCTCGTAGTTCTAGTTGAGAAGACGTGACCAATGGAGTTCAACCATGTCGGGTGTAGGCAGTAACTACCCAAAGACAAATGGGTGAGGTCGCGCAAAAAAACCCTAGATCAATCAGAGTTAGACATTAACACCATTGGATGCCGGCAGCCCAGTTGTCCGATGGTTATGCGTTCGCTCACAATACCGAAGGTCCCGGGTTGGAATCCAGCGCGATGCAGGAGTCGTGGATGCGCACTGCTGATGAGTAGTCCCATACCAGGACGAAATGACCGTCTTTAAGTGCTTCCAGGTTTCTAATGGTGGTCTAACAATGATTAATTAATAATTTCAAATGTGTAAATGTCTATTGTTTACCG